GCAGCTTCCATACCAGGGGGCAGGTGGACACCAGCTCTGGGTATGAGAGGGCTTCCAAGGATAGGGAGGTGTTTAGGGCACAGAAGAAATCAGCTAGTTCTTGGATGAAAAGAGCAAAATGTTTAAGCTGGTGGGCACTAGAGTGTTGGAGTCCAAATGTGGTGAGGAGGGCATCCACGCAGAGGGATGAACTGTATGGGGTGTCAGAGCCCGAGTAAGGTAAGAAGGACAACAAACCAGTTTGTCTATCTGGTGCAAGAAGTCAATGTCCAAGCACAGTAAGGAAGACATCCATACAGAGCAGAGGATGGTGGTAGAAAAGGGAGATTGGTAACATATGGGGGAATTAAACAAACAAATAAATAAATAAATTCAGGATAATGGGAACCAGGTTTCCCAACATCAGAGGATGTTTAAAAAGTTGAATGGAGAGAAAGCTAGAATGAACCCTATTGTATTTAATTGGAGGCGTTGATGTGAAATCATGGTTTTGAAAATATTTGGAGAAATGTGTGTGTGTGTGTGTGTGTGTGTGTGTGTGTGTTCCCATTTATCTACTGAGAGGTCCTGGGACCAATGATACTTCAATAACAATGAGCACACGCAGGTCTTAGTTTCTGAATGCCATTCTCTGCTTAAAAGCAACCAGGGTCCTTTGGAAAAAATGGCTGGTTCTAGAATTTGGACAGAGAAAGCCTGAAACATCTAATTACACCAGAAAGGAAGTGTTGGAGGAGGTCATCAGGAGGATATGGTCACCAATTGACCTGTGAGCTGGACTTGGGCACTCAGAGGCTCCTCACCCCCTTTCCAATCCTTGGAATGTGGGGTCCACTTGCCTTCTCCATTCCCAGAGGCTGCCCCAAGCACATAGCCTGGAAATAGTGATGTGGTGCTGAGTCCATCTGGATGATATTTGTGAATGAATCCTGTTAAGGCCTCTGCATAAACTTGTCAGATTCTGGTGGGCAAGTATGGAGATCTGCTCATCTTACAAACACCCAAGAAAACCTCTTATGTAATTCCTTTGAGTTAAAGCTACTACCTACCAATCTGGAGTGGCCTGCTTCTTTCTTCTTTTTCTCCCTGCCCTATGTGTATGGGGACCAGTTTCAGATTTTACCCAGGGAAATTCCTGAGGTTTGCAAACCAACAGGAAGGAAAACTGATTAGCAAAATAACGGATAGACAGATGTCAAAGGACACAGAAGCCGGTACGAAAGGCTTCCACTGGCCAAATCAAAGACAATTTAAGCATCAAAAATATGGGGGTGGGGGGTGGGAGGAGAAAATAAGATCAGCAAAAATGGCAGAGTAAATTTCTATAAAAGCAATGGAATAAACTGCAAAATTTGTCAGAATCAGCATCTTTTGAACTCTGGAAATCAACCAAAATCTTACAATAATTCAGGGAGCATTTAGTCAAGAAAAACAGCTGGATCTCAGTAAAGAACAGTGAGCTCAGTGGAATTTTAACTTACCCTAGTTCCATTCACCACTCTCCAACTCAGAAGTTGCCTTGCAAAATAACAGCCTACATTGCTGGTACTAGAGGGAGAACACAGCTGTAGCTCTTGAAAATCCTCATTGCCAAAGAAAAATAATTATTTGAGCTGTCTACTGGTTCCCTGGAAGACTCATACTTGAAAGGCTAGTCTTTAATTGACCTTGTTTGAACTTGCCCAGTGCCAAAAGCCTCTCCCCAGCAGACACTTGTCAAATATCTTAACATGACAGCTGTATGAGGTGATGGAGGCAAATAATAGCCTAATCACAAATCTCAAAAGGAAAATTTAAGGAGTTACATGTCCTTAGGGGCTTTGAAAATTTCTGATATATCTTGGGATCTGAAAGGTCACCTGTAAGCATAGGGCTTTGTTCTTGGCCAGGAAAAGCGAGGAAGGCCTAAGCTCTCACTTCTGGCTGACTTTAAGGTTCTGTGAAAGCAGGAAATGAAGGCTAAGACAGAGCCTCAAACTTTCTGGCTGCACGTTGCAGTTGTGTCTGAACATACAAAGACCCTCAGCAGAGACTGGGAGACTTTCAGAGACATTCTGGAAAATGTCTATCCAACCATCAGCTAACTTCTTTTTTTTTTTTTTTTTAAGATTTTATTTAGGGCATCCCAGGTGGCTCAGCGGTTTGGCGCCTGCCTCCGGCCCAGGGCGTGACCCTGGAGACCTGGGATCGGGTCCCACGATGAGCTCCTGCATGGAGCCTGCTTCTCCCTCTGCCTGTGTCTCTGCCTCTCGCTCTCTTTCTCTCTGTGTGTCTCTCATGAAAAAATAAATAAAATATTTTTAAAAAAAAGATTTTATTTATTCATTCGTGAGAGACACAGTGTGAGAGAGACAGAGGCAGAGAGAGAAGCAGGCTCCATGCAGGGAACCCGATGTGGTACTCGATCCTGGGACTCCAGGATCACGCCCTAGGCTGAAGGCTGGCGCTCAACCGCTGAGCCACCCAGGCGTCCCTATCAGTTAACTTCTAAGCTGAGTAGAGATTTTAGTGGGTATACATGGCAGAGGATATAGACTTAGCAGAATTTGTTCAGAAAAGTAATTGAACAAATAGAAACAACTGAAACAGCAGCAACAGCAAACCTTTAGGAGGAGGGAAGATCTGGTTTCCATAGTTGTCATATTACTCAGTGTCCATTTTTCAACAAAAATATTATGAGACATACAAAGAAATAAGGAAATATTACCTGTACACGGCGGGGGGCAGTGAATAAAACTGTTCGTGAGAAAGCACCCATGTTGAAGTTACTAAATATTCTAAATTAGCTGTTTTAATATGTTCAAAGAGCTAAAGGATAACATGTGTAGTGAACTAAAGAAAGATAAGAGAACAGGGGCACCTGGCTGGCTCTGTTGGTGGAACTTACGACTCTTGATCTCAGACTTGCAAGCTTGAGCCCCACATTGGGTGTAGAGATTACTTAACACCTTTCGAAAAGTATGAGAACAGGGCACCTGGGTGGCTCAGCAGTTGAGCGGCTGCCTTTGGCTCAGGTCATGATCCCAGGATCCTGGGGTCAAGTCCCACATCAGGCTCCCTGCAGGGAACCTGCTTCTCCCTCTTCCTGTGTCTCTGCCTCTCTGTGTATCTCTCATGAATAAATAAAATAAAATATAAAAAAATCCATAGAGACAAATATTAGTGGTTTTTGGGTGTGGTGGAGAGGGAAGTGAGGAAAGGGAGTAACTACTTAATGAATATAGGGTTTCCTTTTGGTGTGATGAAAATATTCCAGAATTAGACAGTGGTGATGGTTGCACAACATCCACAACACTGCGAATGCACTAAATGCTACTGAATTGTACAGTTTAAATGGTAAATTTTGTGTTATGAGTATTTCACTACAAAAAAAGAAATGAGTCTTTCAGGATGAAGTAATAGAACACTAGATGGTAACTCAAATACACATGAAGAAATAAAGAGCTCCCATAAAGGTAACTACATAGGTAAATATAAAGACAGTATAAATGTAATTTTATCCCCCATCTGATTTGAAATACTGTATAATGCAGTAATTAGAAATCTAAGTTGATTGGCACACATATATGGAAATGTAATTTGTGATAATAGCAACATAAAGGGAGGTCAAGTGGAACTATACAGGAGCAAAGTTTTGTATACCATTAAAATTAAGTTGGTATTGGGCACCTGGGTGGTTCAGTGCTTGAGTGTCTGACTCAGGGCTCAATCATGATCCTGGGGTCCTGAGATGAAGTCCTGCATCAGCCCCCCCTCTCCGCCCCAGGGAGCCTGCTTCTCCCTCTGCCTGTGTCTCTGCCTCCCTCTGTGTGTCTCTCATGAATAAATAAATAAATCTTAAGAAAAAAAAAAACTAAGTTGGTATTAATCTCACCTAGATTGTTATAAATTAAGATGTTAATAGTAATCTCCAAGGCAACTACTAAGAAAACAATTCAAAAATAGAATAAAAGAATCAAGATAATTAAAATGATACACTAGAAAATATCAACTTAATATAAGAAAAGGTAGGACTGGAGGAACTGAGGACCAAAAAGAGACATAAGATATATAAAAAACAAAAATCAAAATGGAAGATATAAACCCTACCTTATCATGAATTACATTAAATATAAATGAACCAAAAATCTCCAATTAAAAAGTAGAGATTGACAGAGGGGATAAAAAGATGATCCAGTTATATGCTGTCAGCAAGACAAAAGAGAGAGAGTAATGTATAACCAATTGAATCAGGTTCGGAAATCAGGAGTCCACACATACACAAATTGAGAGTTTGATACACACAGTTTCAAAGTGACTCTCTACAAAATACTAAGGAATTACAAAGGAGAAAAGAGTAACTGCTTAATGTACTGCTTAAGTAGGGACTCAGAGGTCCACCTGCCAGCGTCCGACTCTGAGCCCCGTCACTTACAAGCTGTGTGACCTCAGGCAGTTGCTTTCCCTCTCTGTTTCTCAGTTTCCCCATCTGTAAAGCAGGGTAATACCTGTGTCCTTTTCATAGCGTTATTGTGAGAGCTGTCAGCCAAAGATCACCAGGAACATACCTGTTGAACAAATCCAAATTTATTACTTATTTCCACAAGGGAGAACACACACCATGGGGAAGCGTGAGGCACATGCTAAGTGCTGTTACTACTGAGTATCTGTTATTAGAATAGGCAATGTATACCCACGACCAGGACACTATATTAAACCTCACAAGAACAGTATGAGGCAGGGCAATTGTCCTATTTTACAACTGAGATTCTTGACAAGGCAAGGCCAATGGTCACAGGACTAAATGGGGGTTGGAGAAGTGCCTTCAGACACCAGAGTTGACCACGCAGCTCTTGTCCCTACCCTCAGTGACCTCTTTTACAGTTGTGTCAGCACTCCATTCCTCCATCCAATTTTCTGATAGAAGGCAATGTCCTGTTCCTTGTCTTCTTCCTGATTGGGGAGGGATGTTCCTGGGGAGGAGCTGCAGGGCCATCACGTGGGGTTATAAAAACCACAGTCTGGAGAGGAGCAGGAGAGAAGAGGAGAATGGCAGAGATGTGTGACCCCAAGGAGCCGGGTGACCCGGGTGAGGCTGAGCCCCCACTCTGGGATGGTGGGAGGGAGGGCAGGGTTCCAGTATCCTAGGGGAGTTGGGTCTAGCCTCCAGCTTGCAGTCCTAACAACAGGACTTGGCAGGCTTCAAAGCTCAGCTGAATGTGTTCTGTCCTGTTCAGAAGAGGAGATGTTTGGGGGCCAGAGAACAACTAAAAAGTACACGGGACTACTCAGGAGCTCAAGGAGCTTGCCAGGTACAGGGGTGGTTCAAGAGCAAGTATCTGGGGAAGGGGCAGCTGGGAGGCCCCATCCAATGTGCGTGGGTGGGGCAAGTTCTGTCCCTGAGAACCTTGGTTCTACCCATTTGCTGGTCCTGCAGGGTGTCTGACCCAGGCCCATCTGCCTCTGCTGCTGCTTCTCATCTCTTTGGGTTTCTTCATGCTCCTGGTGACCACCCTGGTTCAAGGTGAGTCAGGGGATAAGGGCCTGGAGTCTTGGGTCCTTTTAGGTCTTTACCCTATTCCACAGTCCTCAAAACCTCTAGGGCTTGGGCATCTGAGCTGCACATAGATTTCTGTGTGATGGTGGGCTGGTTCCTACCCCTCTCTGAGCCTGTTTCTTCAGCTGTGAGATGCAGCTCATCTTCCTCCACAGGGAACTTAGGCACCCAGAAACCTCAAAACCAGATTCAACACAGGGTCAGGCCTACAGTTGGTGCTAAAAAAGGGGAATTATCTGCTTTGTTGTAGTCTCCAGGATTCGCCAATCCCTACAGAAAGAGACATGGGACCATCAGGAGAACCCCAGTCAAGGTGAAGGGCTAGACTCTGGATTCAGGGCAGGAGAGGGCTCAGAGGCTGTGTGACCTTGAATGAGCCACCACCTGTCCTCTCACCCCTGCACCCCCCACCCCATACAGTTGAAGTCTGGGGAGGAGACTGGATCCCTCAATGAGACCCTGGGGGCAATGTTGGGCAAGTCATTCTCTGAGTCTCAGTCTTTTTATTTGCATAATGGATTCTTGGGGTCACAGTGAAATCTATAGATATGTTCTCATGGGGCCCTCTCTGCACTAAGCACACACTAGGTGCCTAATAATTAAAGTCCCCTTATTTCAGTGGATGTTTCTCAGAAGTGGACACGATCAGACCTGGATGAGATCCTCCAGCAGCTAACCTGGATGAATGCCACCCTGGGTAAGGGTCAGACACCAAGGTCAGGAGGGAGTTTTGGGATCACAGGTGGGACTGGAACTCGCTTTCCATGGCTCCTGGCCTGAGGAGGGCAAGGCAGAGCTAGGATCTTTCACATGGGTTTCTTGGGGACTGATCTGACAGCTGAACATAGGGTTCCCAAGATCTGATGCAAGTGCTGGGGGCCTGTCTGTCCCAATCCCACTCTCCTCCCCAGCTGGCCTGTGCCGCCCCTGTCCCTGGAAATGGGAACTCTTCCAGGAAAGCTGCTACTTCTTCTCCCAGACCCAAAACACCTGGAAAGAGTCCATCTCCGCATGTCAGAACTTGAGGGCCCAGCTGGTGATCATCAATAGCACTGAGGAGCAGGTGCGCTGGGCAGAGTTCCCATCTGGGGCAGGACCATGTGTCAGCAAAAAGTCTTCTGTCCCTCTTCTGCTCTCTGAGAGACGGAGGACCAGGGGGAGGTGAGGTGACAAGATGGGCAGGGAAGGCCCCCTCCAGGGGACCCACCGTGGGCTTGGGAAGGTTATGTGAGAGAAGAACCTGCATGAGAGAATCCCGTCTGTGGATAGAAAGGGAACTCAGAGCACTCCTGAGACCACACAATCTCTCCCCAGACCCGAAACTGAGACACAAGCTAACACATTTTTTTTAAAGATTTTATTTATTTATTCATTAGAGACACACAGAGAGAGAAGCAGAGACATAGGCAGAGGGAGAAGCAGGCTCCATGCAGGGAACCTGATGTGGGACTTGATCCCAGGACCCCGGGACCACGCCCTGAGCCAAAGTCAGACACTCAGCCTCTGAGCCACCCAGGCGCCCCAGCGAACACATTTCTACCCGGATACACACATTAACACACAGACACAGCATACATACAATTTAAGGAAGGGCTGTAGGCTGGACCTTAGAAGGTCTTCCATGGAGGGCAGGGGACAACCGTGGGAATATGGGCAGACATGGGGAGGGTGACATCTTGCTGCTCCCCCCGCCCTCCCACCCCACCAGAAATTTCTGAAGTCTTGGAATACGAGAAATAACCAGCGCACCTGGATTGGTCTCAGTGACCACCACAATGAGGGTTCCTGGAAATGGGTGGACAACACTCCCCTCCAACTCAGGTGACCTCCCAGAGGAAATGGCCCAGAAGGGGGTGGGCAGGGAAACCCAATCCAGGGTGCTTAGATTCTGGGATTGGAAAGGATCACCCGAGGAGCTTGGTGGAGATGCAGAGTCCTGGCTCCATCCCAGGATGGGAGAGTCTGATTCTATAAATCTAGGCATGGGCCCAGGAACCTGCATTTATTATTATTTTTTTTTTACTTTGCCAGAGGTGATTCTGATGGAAGTGGTGTTTGAACCCTTATTTTGAAAGCACTGCCTCTGAATCCTCACCACTCTCTGGCTGGTACTTGGACTTTTGCTCCCCAAGGCCAGGAACTAGCTCTTCCGAGGGTGGGTTGGGGGTTGGGGGACTGGTGGGCTCTGAGTCGAGTAGGGGGCTTTTAGCTCTGATGGTGTTCACAGCTTCTGGAAAGAAGGGGAACCCAACAACCATGGAGACGAGGACTGTGTAGAATTGTACAGTGATGGCTGGAATGATAACAAATGTAGTACGGAAAACTTCTGGATCTGCAAGAAGCCCTCGTCCCCCTGCCCTGGCCCCTGAGAGCCATTGCTCTCCAGACCCCACCAGTCTCCAGAGATCAGGCAGCCTGGGTATGTGTTCTGCTGGTTTCTCTCTGGTCCCATTCTTTCAGCTTCTCTCTCTGGTGAATTCTATCCTCCTCCTGCATGGAGGTCTTTGAGATCCAGAGAGAGAGAGAGAGAGAAAGAGAGAGTCTGAGGCCCCCCCCTTCTCTTTTAAGTTCTGTCTCTCCATGGGCTGTAGACCTCTCCCCTCTTCTGTTGATGGTCTCAGCCCCCCAGCCCCCCATGACATCCCCTTAATAAAGTCGCACATTGCATCATGTGCTCCTTTGAACTTATGTCTATTTTTTTGCCACCCTTTCAGTTACTATAGTTTTATACTATATACTATACTTTCTACTTTATGTTTTATACTATAGTTTTATATATTATGTTTCACATAAACTAAGACATTGTTGTCTTTCAGTATGTGTCTCTCTACTACTGTGTATTTTATTTCTCAGATACGGTTTTGAATTAATTTGTAATTTTGGTTGGGAATATACCTATATACCTATAGGTATGAACATGTCTGTGTGTCTATCAATGTGTTCATTCATTACGGAACACATCATCTCTTTTTAAGGTACCTTTAAAATGTTCTTTGTGACTTTCTTCATACAATTTTTTTTTATTTCTCATACAAATTTTTAAAGAACAGAGACGCCTGGGTGGCTCCGTGGTTGACTGTCTGCCTTTGGCTCAGGGCATGATCCCAGGGTCCCAGGATCGAGTCCCGTATCAGGCTCCCCATGGGGAGCCTGCTTCTCCCTCTGCCTGTGTCTCTGCTTCTCTCTCATGCATAAATAAATAAAATCTTTTAAAAAACCCAAAATTTTGGGATCCCTGGGTGGCGCAGCGGTTTGGCGCCTGCCTTTGGCCCAGGGCGCGATCCTGGAGACCCGGGATCGAGTCCCACGTCGGGCTCCCGGTGTATGGAGCCTGCTTCTCCCTCTGCCTGTGTCTCTGCCTCTCTCTCTCTCACTGTGTGCCTATCATAAATAAATAAAACAAAAAAAAAATCTTTAAAAAAAATAAAAAATAAAAAACCCAAAATTTTAAAGAACATTATTTCTAAATATGTGCGTTAATCTCCTATTGGTATTGTAGTAAATTACCACAAGCTTAGTGGCTTAAAACAGCACAAATGTATCGTTTACAGTTCCCCAGGTTCAGCCCCTTATTGTCTATGGTCCTTAACCTTTTTGACAAGTACTGGTCAATTATTCTACAAACTGTCCCTCAATTTGAGTTCATCTGTGTTGTTGGGTTGTTTTTTTTTCCCTTTTGTTTTGTTTTGTTTCTCTCTCATAATCAGACTGAAGTTAGTTATCCTTTTCTGGCAAAGATACCACAGAGGAGGTGTTGTGTCCATCCTAGCGCCTCATCTTGAGGGTTACATGGTGTCAGTATGTCTTGTCTTTTTATTGGCTATGTTAACCACAGTTACTTGGTTAAGGTGGTGCCTGCCAGTTTACTTCATTGTTAAGTTAATATTTTCCCCTTGGTAGTGAATACATATCTTGTGAGGACATATTTTGAGACTTTGAAAATATTCCATTTTTTGTAAAATTCTCATCCACTCATTTTGGCAGCCATCGGTGGATCATCTGTGGCAATTATTATTGTGGGTTTTTTTAGTAGAGATTTTTTTTTAAAGATTTTATTTATTTATTCATGAGAGACAGAGAGAGAGAGAGGCAGAGACACAGGCAGAGGAGAAGCAGGCTCCATGCAGGGAGCCTGATGTGGGACTCGATCCTGGGTCTCCAGGATCATGCCCTGGGCTGAAGGCAGCGCTAAGGCACTGAGCCATCCAGGCTGCCCAGTAGTGATTTTCTTAATTATTCTATCTTTATTTATTTATTTTAAGATTTTATCTTTACAATATCTTTACACCCAACGTGGCACTCCAACTCATGACCCTGAGACCGAGTGTTGCTCACACCACCGACTGAGCTAATACATAACATTTTGAGGAACTACCAAAGTGTTCTCCACAGTGGTCACATCATTTTACACTTCCATTTATTTATACATTCACTGATTTCTTTAGATCAGTATGGGTCAAAGATATTTATTTTATTCCATGGGTTATAGTCCAACACAATCATTTTAAAAATTTTTAAAAGTAATCCCTACACCCAGTGTAGGGCTTGAACTCATGACCCCAAGATCAAGAGTCACGCAGTCCACTGACTGAGCCAGCCAGGTGCCCCACATTCATTTCTTTTCTTGCTTAATTGTTCCAGCTTCGGCCAATTGGAATGCCTTCAGGTTTACATCTTGTTTTTCCCTAGCCCCAGATCTGGGGTCAACCAGTCCTATAGTGAGCTCTGGTTCCTTTTTTTTTTTTCAAGAGATGATACTAAGAACCAAGATCCGTGGGCTAGTTATTGTTTTGTTTTACCATTTTAAAATGTACAATTCGGTGGCATTAAGTACATGCACAGTGTTGTGCAAACATCCCCACCACCCACCTCCAAAACTTTTCCATCTTCCCAAACAGAAACTCTGTCCCCACTAAACAGTAACAACCCATCTCCCCCGCCCAGCCCTGGGGAACCTCTGTTCTACTTTCTGTATCGAATCTGCCTATTCTAGGAATTTCATGTAAGTGGAATCACATAATATTCGTTATTTTGTGTCTGGCTTCTTGACATAATATCTTCAAAATTAATCTGTGTTTTAGCATATGTCAGAATATACTTCCTTTTTATAGCTGAATAATATCCCATTATTGAATATCCCATTATATGAATACACCACATTTTGTTTACTCACGCATCTGTTGATGGATACTTGGGTTGCTTCCACGTACCAGTTATTGTACATAGTGCTGCTATGAACTTGGGTGTACAAGTATCTGTTTGAGTCCCTGCTTTTAAATCTCATAGGGGGGGTCCCTGGGTGGCTTAGTTGGTTAAGCATCTACCTTCGGCTCAGGTCATGATCCTGGGGTCATGGAATCAAGCCCTACATCAGGCTCCCTGCTCAGCGGGGTGCCTGCTTCTCCCTCTCCCACTCCCCTGCTTGTGCTCTCTCTCTGCAAAGAAATTAATATCATCTTTTTATTTATTTTTTTAATTTTTATTTATTTATGATAGTCACACACACAGAGAGAGAGGCAGAGACACAGGCAGAGGGAGAAGCAGGCTCCATGCACCAGGAGCCTGACGTGGGATTCGATCCCGGGTCTCCAGGATCGGGCCCTGGGCCAAAGGCAGGCGCCAAACCACTGCGCCACCCAGGGATCCCCTAATATCATCTTTTTAAAAAAATAAATCTGGTGGGTATGTACTTAGGAAGTGGGATTGCTTAATTATCTGATAACTCTATGCATAATATTTTTGTAAAAGATTATTCATTTATTTATTTTTAGAGAGAAAGAGAGGAGTAGAGGGGGAGAGAGAGGGAGTGCAATCAACCTCAAGGAGACTCCATGCTGAACACGGAGCCCAATGCAGGGTTCGATCCCACCAACCTGATCATGGTCTGAGCTGAAACCAAGAGTTAGATGCCCAAGCAACTAAGTCACCCAGGTGTCCCCTCTATGCATAACATTTTGAGGAACTACCAAAGTGTTCTCCACAGTGGTCATGTCATTTTACACTCCCACCAGCAGTGCATGAGGGTTCTAATTTCTCCTTGCCAGCACTGGTTATTTTTATTTTTTATTTTTTGGTAATAACTATCCTAGTGGATGTGAAGTGGTATCTCATTACAGGTTAGGTATGCTTTTTATTTGGCTCTAGGACCTTTCAGAGAGCAGAGTCAAGATGTATACTAACTGATACACATACACATACACACACTTGTATGTTTGTTTCTGTATCTACTTATCTGTGTATGTATATTAAAAACCGTGAGTTCTACTGGCTGGCTCAAGTAGAGCGTGCGACCCTTGATCTCAAGGTTGTGAGTCTGAGCCCCACGTTGGGTGCAGTGATTACTTAAAAAACCCCCACAGGGATCCCTGGGTGGCGCAGCGGTGTAGCGCCTGCCTTTGGCCCAGGGCGCGATCCTGGAGACCCGGGATCGAATCCCACGTCAGGCTCCTGGTGCATGGAGCCTGCTTCTCCCTCTGCCTGTGTCTCTGCCTCTATCTCTCTCTCTGTGTGACTATCATAAAAAAAAAATTTAAAAAAAAAACCCACAAAAACAAACAAACAAAACCCCATGAGGTCATACCAATACTCTACTTCCAGTCCAACACCACAGAGTCCATTCTGGCCTTTTCCTCATCCTTATTTATAACTTCTTTTTCCAACAGTGAGAAACCTGGTTCTCATTATTTACAATATATTTGCTAATAGTCTGCTCAATCCTAGAATACATAGCAAGTAGTTTCAGAATTTCTAATTCATACCTTTGTGAGAGACAATTATCCTGTTGTTGGATGAAGTATGTCCTTTGATGGTTTCTTCAGGAAAGACTAATGGATGCAGAGTTTCTTGACGTCTTGTGTATAGTTGAATGACAGCTGGGCTGGATATCAAATCATTGGCTCACACTTTTGTTCACTGGATTTTTTTGTTTTGTTTTTCATTTTTATTTTTTTATTATTTTTAAAAGGAATTTATTTACTCATTTAAGAGAGAGAGAGAGCATAAGCAGGGAGAAGGGCAATGGGAGAGGGTGAAGCAGGCTCCCCACTGAGCAGGGAGCCAAATGCGGGGCTCAATCCTGGGACCCTGAGATCATGACCTGAGCCAATGCTTAGTTGACTAAGCCACCCAACTGTCCTTTGTTTTGTGTTTTTTAAATGACATACATTGTTGTCTCATTTTTTAATGTTGTCTTGAAAAGTTTTATGGCAGTCAAAGCCTTTTGACTTGGTAAATTATTTGATCTGGGGCATTTGAGGATTTTATCTTAATCTTTGAAATTGAATAGTTGTTTTTTTTTAAGATTTTATTTATTCATGAGAGAACAGAGAGAGAGAGAGGCAGAGACACAGGCAGAGGGAGAATCAGGCTCCATGCAAGGAGCTTGACGTGGGACTCGATCCTCGGTCTCCAGGATCACGCCCTGGGCCAAAGGCAGCGCTAAACCGCTGAGCCACCTGGGCTGCCCTGATGAGCCTTTTCAATGTGTAAATTCAAGTGATTTTCCATTTCTGAAATTTTTAAAATTAAGGTTTAAATATTTTCTCTGGGGACACCTGGGTGGCTCAGTGGTTGAGCAGCTGCCTTTGGCTCAGGGTGTGATCCTGGGGTCCTGGGATGGAGCCCTGCATCCGGCTCCCCATGGGGAGTCTGCTTCTCCTCCTGCCTATGCCTCTGCCTGTCTCTG